CCCAAAGTTTCAAAATTCGTCAAAGCAAGCTCTGGATTCTCCAATTTGGTCGCCTGTAATACGACGCCGGAGAGCATCCCGAGAGTCAACAACGCCGGTCTCAAACTCGAGGAGACAGTCGACGACGTGAAAGGTAAGATTCGTCTTGATTCGTGGATCTCTTCTCGTGTTCATGGAGTTAGCAGAGCTCGTGTACAGTCCAGTATTCGTCTGGGTCTCGTTATCGTCAATGGTCGAGTCGTTGATAAGGTATTGAAACTTCGATTTTCGATTCCGAAATTTTTCAATTTCTTCTTCTTCCACTAGTCAATCTCGAATCTCAATCTTTCTTTCTTTCAGGTTTCGCACAATGTAAAATCTGGAGATGAGGTCAATTGTACAATATCAGAGCTTCAACCTTTGAAAGCTGAACCTGAATATATACCATTGGATATAGTTTATGAAGATAAACATGTTCTTGTTGTTAACAAACCAGCTCACATGGTAAAATCAATCACATTGTCTCAATCTTAGGATTATGAATTGGAATTGCCAGTATAGTGAAGAATGTCTTTTGTGATTAGGTTGTTCACCCTGCGCCTGGGAATCCTACAGGGACGCTTGTTAATGGAATACTTCACCATTGTAGTCTTCCCTGTGTTTCTTATTCAAACCCAGAAGATGATTCTGATGAAGAAACTCTTTTAGATGATGAAGAGATGACTTCTTCATCTTCTAGTTCTTATGCTGCGTCTGTTCGTCCTGGTATTGTTCATAGGTTGGATAAAGGGACTAGTGGATTGCTCGTTGTAGCTAAGGTTAGGTTTTTTGTCTTCTTCATTTGGTAAGAGCTACTTTTCTTGCTTCTTATAGATTGTAACGAAGAGTGTTATGGCAGGATGAATATTCTCATGCCCATTTAGCAGAACAGTTCAAGCTACATACAATTGAGAGAGTATACATAAGTCTTACTTCTGGAGTTCCTTCTCCATCTCAGGGGCGTATTGAGATACCAATTGGTCGTGATTCGAATAATCGGATCCGGATGGCTGCTATACCTGGATCATTAAGCCGTGGAAGGGCTCGTCATGCTGCTAGTAGGTGATGATGAGCAGTCTTTTAAAAGTGCATCAAGCACTATAACACTGCATCTGTTCTTCAGAATCTTCATGAGAAAAATCTCTTTAAGAGATGTTAACTCATTCATCTATCTTTTTCGCTCTCTTAGATATAAGGTAATTGAATCACTCGCTGGAGGCGGCTCTGCATTAGTTGAGTGGAGACTGGAAACCGGCCGTACCCATCAGGTATTCTCACATTATTTCAGTGCGAAACTCTCTCCATACGAAGCAAAACTCAAAATCTTTAAAAGTATACTGCGTTTTATAGTTTTGTCTGTAAAAGCTTGACTTAAAGCTTTTATGTTACTGATACTGCCTGAGTTCATATATTTGATCAAGCCGCTTTGCACTTGTGATGTCTAAATAGTTAGTCTCTCTGTTTATCTTGATTTGAGGTAGATACGTGCACATGCCAAGTATATGGGAGTTCCTCTACTGGGTGATGAAGTGTATGGTGGAACGAAAAGTGTGGCCCTTTCTCTTCTGCAGAAAAGAGTCTCCCGCAGTGTTCAAGAAAAGATCCTAGAGCTAGTTACGAGAATGGATAGGCCTTGCCTTCATGCTATAGTTCTTGGGTGAGACAACTCGAACCTCAAATCTTATATTCTCGATTCAAAACTTAGGAGTAAAACCGGGTAATAAATTCTGTTTTCCTACGTAGCTTTAAACATCCGTGCACTGGAGAAATTGTACGGTTTTCACGTCCACCGCCTCCAGATCTTGCAGAGATAGTAGGCTTGCTTCGTAGAAGCGGAAAAGAAACGGTAACCAAACTCTTTGCTTTCTAACTAACCTCATGCGTTTGAATATACCGAAACCTCTCAAGTCTTAAGTCTTGCTTTTCGCAGGTGAAGTAATCTCTCAGACATTGGTTTCTTAACTTCCTCACAGCCATACTCGCATCAACTGATTGTGCGCGGCACGAGATATATAGATCATCTGAAGAAGGGAAATCGACTTTCACACTCTTTCAAGCAAACTTTGATCACAAACAAATTGGCGATTTTTTCGATGTTGCAACAAGTTAATTCTATAAATCAAAGCCTTGTTTTACACCTTGTAGGTGTATACCACAAACACTACATTGTGTAACATGAACGGATAATCTCATAAAACTAAATCTGTATATGTCTTGCAAGTCAATCACAACACTCAAAATATTCTTCTTGCTGTAAATCGCTGCGAGAAGCGGACCATGAAGAAGCAGAAAGAGATCTCTTTCAGCTTCTTCATCTCCATCTCCTCCTTAAATGAGCAAGAAAAATATCTAAATGAATCCTTAAAACAATTTCACTATCATCGGCGATTTTTCTCGATCATCGCTTTTTGCTTCTCCGCGAGCTTATCTAAAGCACACGAAACCGCATCGCTTCCACCGATAAGCAGCCGCGTGATAACCTCCGGATCAGTCTCGAATCGCGCCGCTTCAAACTCTTTCCTCGCGTTCTCTCTCAACACGTCCTTCCACAACAATCCTTTAGAATCAGTCCACATGAAGAACCGAGTCGCTCGTAATATGTCTCTGTACAAACTCAACGCCTCCCGGCGCGTGCTCGTCAGACGCCGCCTGTTCAGAAACTCGGCCTCGTCGTCGTCGATTAGAGGTTTCTCTTTCTTCGCCGCTAGATGTCTATCGATGAGCTCTTCCACGGTGTCTGGACCTTCGTGAAGGAGCCGTCTCGTCGATACAGCGACGGTCCGAGCCATCAGATCTAGACGACCTGGTGATAGATTTCGCCATTTCTGAATCATTTCTCTCACAACACTAACATTGAAAAATTCCAGCCTACGTGTAACAATAACAAAACATGCTCGATAGGTATTGGTCTTTTATAGGCTAAAAAGCTTGATGGGCTTAAAGGCCCATTTCTAAAACGACGTCGATTTAGATCACTGTTGGCCTCCCTCTTTGTTTCCAAGTATGACAGGTTTCATGTGCTTATTCTCAATCACTTCTCATCAAGAAAACACACAAAAATACCAAACGAACTATGTCAAATAGGTTATGTTTACAAGCTAATTAACTGTGAAGTTTTTCTACGAGAAACCAATTGTTTCTTTTACCTTCTTTCTAGCTTTCTGCTTAAATTAAAGGTTATGCAATGCTAGACTCTCCAAACCGGGAAGTCTGACTTTGTGCTTGAGCTCTTTCCTGTGTATCGTCTTTCATGTCTATCGACTGAGACACAAATCAACGAGCTTATTCATCTTTCTGGCTGAATCTGTGAGGCTGACGCAATTTGAAGATCTTTTTTCCTTCTTGATGTTCTTCCCAACAATATCATTTCTATTGTACTCATTTCTCTTGCAACCCATTCATAAAGCTTCTCATGTGACTACCTTATTAAAGATAATCTAGATCAAGAAACAAATGACCTTAATCGAAATACTAAAAAAATCGAACACAGCTCTCTCGGTTTGCACGAATAAACTTTATGGATTGATTGTAAGAGAAGATTACTACAATAAAAGTGAAAACAATATATAGGCAGAAGAACACATGAAGATGAATCAACTCAATCAGAGTCCTTAGCTCACAAAAATTACATATCATATTCCTCTCTAGTAAAAGCTATTTGCTTCAATAGTAACCAAAATTCTTAAGGCCAATTTTTTAATGGCCTTGCATATCCAACATCTCATCAAGTCCTTTAACTCTCTCTAAACCTTCACTAATCAAAAACCGAATCTTTTGTTTGTCATTGCAGTCTCTGTTCTTCTCCATCTCTTCCCTAATTGTCTGTTTCAATTCCCCTACAAAAACACACTTATAACATCAACCAAAGCTTATCCTTGATCTGTAACTTAGAAAACCTGATAGAAAACCATGTGTGGACTACTCCCCAAGTCTCCAACTTTATATGAAATTCTAAAAATTTCCGTTCTTAAGCAAAACCTACCCAAGATTTCAAAAGGGGTTCTTCTAGATTTCGTATGAATTGGATCCATGGTGAATTCATATCGATGATGAAATCGTGTAGAGCAATAAGAAATGAAAAGACTAACCTCTAACATGAACAGGAGCTCTTTGAGCTATCTTCAATGCTTGTCGGTAAAGTTTAAGCACTCGAGCTCGGAGAATAAAGCTCTGAAAATCTAATTGAACCATAATCTAAGGAATTTAAATTAAAAAAGTTTACTCTGGAGAATGATGGATTTAGGAATCGGAATCGAAATCGAAATCGAAATGTAGGCCAAGTTCCTGAGAACAATCAAACA